TGTTAGTTAACATTGATGGAAGCAGGAAGAAATTGGCTAAGAGAGAAGGAAGAGGGAGAAGCCCATTGCTTCCTTCAACAGTATCAAAGTCACAGAAGAGCCTGCTGGATTAGGCCAATGACCCATCTTGTCCAGCATCCTGTTCTCACATTAGCCAACCAGATGCCTGTGGGAAACCTGCAAGCAACTGGTTCCAGCAACTGGTAAGGTCCCCAGCAATCTCAAGATTACATGCTCCCCCATCTTTTGCTCTATTTCTCTATCATTTTATTACATTATGTTATCTAAATGTTATTTAAAGAAGGCTGTCCTAGAGGAGCTGTGGAAAGAATTCAGCATATCAGATTACATTTAAGGATGTTATACTATGGTATAGTGCAGGGATGTCCAACCAGTAGATCATGATCTACTGGTAGATCCCCAGCTGATCCTGGTAGACTACCCACCCCACACATGCTCCTGCTCCCTCCAATGACAATGGGTAGATCTCTGCCAGTGTTTTAATACTGGGAGTAGATCACAGTCTCTTGGGAGTTGGATATGCCTGGTCTAGTGCATGGGAGGAAACACTTTAGCTTTGTGACATCTTCTTTATTATCATTATTGACTGGAATTCCAAGATTTACAAACCAGAAAGGTAAAAGGTAAAGTACCCCTGGACGGTTACGTCCAGTCAAAGGCAGCTCATCTCGCTTTCAGGCCAAGGGAGCTGGCGTTTGTCCACAGAGAGCTTTCTGGGTCATGTGGCCAGCATGACTAAACCGCTTCTGGCGCAACGGAACACCGTGACGGAAACCAGAGCTCACAGAAACGCTGTTTACCTTCCTGCCACAGCAGTACTTATTTATCTACTTGCACTGGCGTGCTTTCGAACTGCTAGGTTGGCAGGAGCTGGGACAGAGCAACAAGAGCTCACCCTGTTGCAGGGATTCGAACCGCCAACCTTCCGTTCAGCAAGCCCAAGAGGTTCAGTGGTTTAGACCACAGTGCCACCCACATCCCCACTTACAAACCAGAATCAGGAGCAAAAGGCATAGAATTAAATAACTCCTGCAGCTAGAAATTGTGGAGGGAGATTAGTATCAAAAATGAGTGGTGTTCATAGTCCTTCTACCCAATATTGTAGTTTTGATTCCCCAACCCCTTTAACAACTTTCTTTGTAATTTAAAGGGGAGACATTCTTTTTTTTTAAATTTTAAAACAGTTTGGAGTTTGAAAATTTTGATGATCTACTGTAAATCATCCCAAGACCAACCAGTGGATCCTAATCTACCATCTGCCCACTCCTGATATAGTAGAAAAAGAACTGCAGCTTGGTGAAGAATGGAAAATCCTTCAGTCTTAACCTACTTGTTAAGGGATCGAACTCTTCTTATATGCAGGATATCTCTCTGGAATTGAGGACAAGGCTTTATTTTGAAAGACTGAGTCATAATAAAAGATAGTTATGTCTGTGGTGAATGACTTACTTGTCTGCTGTGAAGGTTTTTAGAAAGTTCTGGAGGGGAGTAAGATATTGTGCTGCTAAAATTAGCCAAGCTGTCCTGGAACCAAATATAGCTTGTTACAGATGATGCTGAAATAATAGAACCACATTTTTGTAAAGATTCTTGTTCTTTCAGGATATCATTTTCAGCGGCCCTTCTTTCACAGAGGAACACCATTAGACTGAATGGTCAGCAATGTTTAATGTAGCAAATGAGAATGGTTTAGATGTATCGGATACTGGTAAAAAATTAGGAAGAAGGGGAGTCTGGTTCTAAGAAATGCTTGATCTATAACTGAAGCAGATTGCTGACTCTTGAAATAAAAAAGGGTTATTACAGAGCAGATATGCCAGATCAAGTAGGTTTTGTCTATGAAACCATATGTTTGCCACAATAAGTTTGCTAATTTATCAGTTACCACTGTACTACTATTATTGAATGCACAGAAGAACAAGCCTTGCTGTGGAAGAATCAGCAAAATTTTTGCAAAGGGAAATTTGGCCTTAAAGACCTGCTAAAATTCTTTGTTGATGTCAGCTGCCATGTAGCTAGATGGGTGATTCAAAGATTGTTAAGTAGTTTACATACTTGGATCTGAAACATGTTGATAGAATCCTATCATATATTAAGGAAATGTAGCAATTGTGAGATTTGCTTTTTGATTAAAAGGAAGAAAGTGCGCAGACTTGGACTGGAAATAAACTGATTCATCTAGTCCTGGGTAAAGCATATTATCCATTAATAAAGACTTCAAGAAGTTTGGGATATTTGGCTAAGGAAGAAGACTCCTATTCTCTTTGCTAGAAAATGGGTCATCAAATGAAACTAATTGTCAAAAGGAATGCTTCCTTTATGCAACACATAATTAACACAAGCAATTCATTGAGTCTAGGAAGCTCTAATTTCCATTAGCTCTGGTGGCTTTTTAATTACGTATACTCACAAAGGTCTATTGGTGGCACAGCAGCTTTGAACAGAATGACCGTGTTCAGGGACAGCAAGTGCATCAGCAGCAAGAGATGAGTATCTCAATTATGCTTTTCTTGTGAAGTTCCCAAGAGCATCTGGTTGGCCACTGATTTCTTTCTACATTTATAAACATTTATAAAACACTTGATATTTGTTGATAAACCACTTAATATCTGGGGGGGGACCCCAAGAAGTGAGCAATCTAAAAACAGCAAATAATATCATTAAAACAAATGCAACAACAACACACAATCAGTAAAAGCATATACAAACAAATAAAAGCAGGAGATTCAAATGAATAAAGAAACAGGGTTCGATCTTATGGGTTGGGGACTACGACAAGATGTCCTTACAAGATGTCTGAAGCAGCTGATGCTTCCTTCTTATAAATGGAACGCTTATTTAATCTCTGAATCTGGACTTCTCCTGAATCATGTGCCAATATCCTAAAATAATTTCAAATAATGTTTCCCTTTCTCTTAAAACAAGGTCTGGGAACTGTAATGCAAACTAAAACTACATGAGATAAAAGGGGAGGCGCAGACATCTTTAAGAGTATACATATGGAATAAGGTGTTGTATCTACCATGTCTGACAAGCCACTCATCTCTTACTTTAAACTATATTTTATCTGGTATCAGTGCATATATTTCTTTTTCACTGAGATGGTTGCTTCCTGCCAGACCAAATTATTTTTGCACTGCAGCCATTTATGTATGGCCTACAAAGCAGTATATGAACACCTATGTGAGCTACAGTAACAGCAACTACAGTAACAAAGGAAACATTATTATTATTATTATTATTATGCTTACTGTGAGAGAAATTATCACTCCCTGTAACAGCAAACTGAGTAACTACAGGTTTGCAGCCCAAACAGAGTCACTGAGAGGCAAGATTTTCAGAAGAACACAACATTTTCAGAAGAACACAAAGGTTTGCAGAAGCACAAAAAAACTTTAGAGAGAACTTAAGGGGCACACACACACACCCCAAATACACAGGCACACACACAAACTCAGAGCAATGTGAGCTGAGCATGCTCAGTAGACACAGAATGCCAAGGATCTGTTGGGAGAAAAAATATGAAAAAAATGAAGGGGGAAGAAGGAATGGAATGAAATGTCTTGGAAGGGAACATGGCTGGGAGGCATGGATTTAAATCAAAGGTATTCTTTGATCAAAGGTATTCTTTGAAACAAAACACCTTAATAATTATTTATCACCATTAGATTTCACTTTCTCTACCAAGGGGCATGGAAGCTAAATATTTGCTTCTTAAAACCTGCAGTTCATTGTACTGGTTTCAGTTTGCAGTGCTGTTATCACAGCTCTCCCATAAATGGAACTTCGTTGAGGTTTTTTGAGGTTACTGTAGAAATGACTAAGTGAAATGTCTGATTCCAATGGGAGATGCTAGCATACAGTCTTGACTGCAAACACCTTCCGATGGCATTGCCAAACGCCACCCTTGCCATCCTGTGAGCTCTAATTCTACTTGCTGTTAGACTGGGCAGAACTGGGAAGATTGTCTGCGGCTGAATTAAGACTTTCCGTGGTAGGAACCTGTCTAGTGCGTTCTGGTCAGCTCTGGCTGATTCTGGATGATATCATCTAGGTCACTTTCTCTATTTTAGGAAAGAATGAACGTGTATCACAGAAAATGATTCCATGTGTTGTGCACATCCTCAGCGAAGCTCGGGTGGCCCCAGCATGAGTAAACCACGAGAAAGAGTTTGGGTAGAACATTTTCACTTTCCAGGCCTGTCCCTGAACAAATTCTGCGCCCAGGCAGACCAGGAACTACAAGCATTGCATGGTTATGGTGTGCTTGTTAACTCTCCCATTTTCTGCTCTGAGATTTTCCCAGTGAATTGTAACAATAAACAGATGAGTCACTGGAAGAAGAATTAACTTGTGCTGCTGTTTTCACATACCCAATATCATCATTCCAGTTGGACTATGCTATTTATCTATCTGGTTTAAAGATTCAAATCTAGACCAACATTCAGCTCAATGTCCTTCTCAGGGCAACAAGAAAGAACATTAAAGAGTCAGCACCACACTCACATAAAATTAATTTACACAGCCAGCCAGAACAAGTAAAGCTAACTGTTTTAAACTAGTGGATAACATTAAGAATTTCATCACCATAATTAAAAGCAGATTGGAATAAATGGGGGTTCAAGTCCCATTTAACAGCCAGCACTGAAGGGTCTAAATGAATATCCCTTTGAACTGAGTTCCAGAAATATGGGGCCATCACTGAAATGCCCCTGTCTCCAACTGTACAGAACAGTCCTTCTCAACCTTAGATCCCCAGATGTTGTTGGATTACAACTTCCGTCACCCTTGTGAGAAGGGCCAGCAGTCAGGGATGATAGAAGATGTAGTCCAACAACATATGGGGGCCCAAAGTTGAAGAAGGCTGGTATAGAGGTATGTCTGGGTAACCTCCAATAGAAAATGCATTTTTTGCTGTTCCCGATTCACAGGCAGAAACCCAGCTAAGCTGAAATGCGCAGATTTAAGACAATCTTATTTCAGAGAAGGCTCAGTCGGTAGAGCATGAAACCCTTAATCTCTAGGTCGTGGGTTTGAGCCCCACATTGGGCAGAAGATTCCTGCATTGCAAGGGGTTGGACAAGATAAGCCTCATGGTCCTTTTCAACTCTACAATTCTATAATTCAATTATACTGATAGTAGATTGTTCCCATTCGTTAGAAATGGAAGCATTATGAGAAACAGCAATATTGTTGATCTTTTCCATCCCACGCTACTATACTTTCCTTGACCTTCTGACGTCTTGCAATTTATGTACAGCTTAATCTGAACCAAAAATCAATCCATTCCAACTCTATGATTGTGATTCGAGGACCCGATCCCCGCTTGGGGAATAAAGACATGTGGACACAGAATGTAAGGTTAATGGGTAAGGTAAAGGCCACAACTTTATTGATTACAGCATGTGAGAAGGTATTGGCGTAGGCATTGGACCACGGAACATTAGACTCCACCCACTCGTAGAGGGGTGAGTCTGAGGAGGTGTTAACCACCAGTAGGGGAAGCCTGTTGATGCTAATCCAACTATAGGCTCTCTTCCTGATGTCACCGAGGGTCATGCCATGGCCCCCCGCCACATGGGCATCGGACAGGATCCACGACCGCCAGATTCCTTTAGCAGAATACCCAAAATTGTCGGGGAAGGCGATGGCCACACCTTGCCCCCCGAAACACCAACAACACATTCCAATGCCTAACCGCCAGATACCACGAAAGTTGTGACGGTTGCTACGAGGTAGGCGAAAAAAACCAAGAGGCCGGGCCAATTTAGCCAATTGGAAAAAACTCCTACCAGGCTCCCTGGTTAAACAGGGCGACCAACCAGAGGTCCATAGCAAAGTCTCAGGAACAGCTAATCTAAAGGGAGTGGAGGGTGGGTGACTTGAAGAAAATGTGTGTGCAATGGTGGGGATGGCTGGCGCGGCTGCGTTTGAGCAGCAAGCCACGCCCCTGTCGAGCTTCCCTATTGGGTGCCCAACTGGGGAGGGGCGTGGCGCCAGCCCTGGAGTTTAAGCAGGGGGTGGAGCGCCCCTTGCATGACGCAGGAATCGTCTCCCGCTCACAACCCCTTCCCTCCTGGGAGTAGGAAAGGCTTTCTATGAAGTGACGTACAATTTGTCCTTAAAAATTGACATTAGCATATCTCCTTTAGTTTTATCAACATCTAGATGTTCTTGGATTAGAGATCACTTCTTCCCATACCATTTACCATACTGACGGTTAAGTCCAGTCAAAAGTGACTATGAGGTTGCGGCACTCATCTCGCTTTCAGGCCAAGGGAGCCAGCATTTGTCCATAGACATTTTTTCAGGTCATATGGCCAGCATGACTAAACCGCTTCTGGTGCAATGGAACACCGTGACGGAAACCAGAGTGCACCAAAACACTATTCACCTTCCCGCCATAATGGTACCTATTTATCCACTTGCACTGGCTAGCTTTCAAACTGCTAAGTTGGCAGAAGCTGGGAAAGAGCAACGGCAGCTCACCCCGTTGCACGGATTCGAACCACCAACCTTCCGATCGGCAGGCCCAAGAGGCTCAGTGGTTTAGACCACAGCACCACCCGCAGCTGACTGGATCAGATGGGAGATATGGCCAGTCACATGGAGGGGAGCACATTTCCTACCTTGGTTTAGAACATGCATTGAAGTCTCCATTGTAATTCCACATATTTAATCATGTGCCTCAGTCTCCTGTTGTGCTGAAACACCTAAATTAAGATATGCTGCTGTTCTGGAGCTCCAGAATCTGAGGTAGGTTCTGTGGTTGGGGTCTTGATTAAAAGTCTGCTTTAAGGATTAACTCTTGACCCAACTAGGCTTCATCCTTTAACTGCACTCCAGGCAACTGCACAGACAGGAGAACCAAACTTTTGTGCAAGCAAGTGTGCACAAAACACTCATGGATGCTTCAATGCTCACCACTTCCATAGCCACATCTCCCCCCACAAAGGAAGCATGGAGCAGCTGCCCCAAGCCCTGATGACCTGAGATGCAAGAGTAGGACATTTGCCAGAAATGAGGGCAGGGCGTGGGGCTTTGGTCCTGGAAACTGGAGCTTGTGGATTTGCCACACGGAAGCCTCTTTAATTTACTGCAGATGCTCTGCTTTATATCATGTTATTATACGTTTCCAGGCTAATAGCATGTACTCATTTTTCAACAAGAGAAATGCCTTTTTCTCTAATGCTTTCAAATAAGTTAATAGCATCAAAACCTGATTGCTGCTGTGCCGAAACCGCAGGCAGCATCTGTCTAAGTTACTGTAATGACACGCTGTTGTCAAATGCTAGACTTAGGCACTTTCCTAAGTGCATTCACACATATTCAGGATGTTTAACTGGTTATTTTAACAGGGGCAATAATAACAATAACTGCAGTAGTAATAACAATGCATTTTGGGCACACCAGGGCAATTTGACATTTTCAAGTGACTGCTAAAAAGTAAAGTAAAGAAAAGAAAAGAAAAGAAAAGGGGTGGGTGTGTGGGTGCGTGTCTGTGTAGAAGTGGTGCTTTTCTTTCATGCTTTCAGATCAAAGCTTGGTGTGATGAAAGAAGGAAGTGAATTCATTAGTTTGTTGGAAAACGCAGGTACACAAATTGGGAGGAGGGGAAAGAGAAGAAAAGCCTGGCATGTTTTATTCCTTACTTGCTTAAATAGCTAGCCCAAAGCATTTTGCTGCCTGAAGTAGAGGACAAGATTGTTCCCACCTCCCATTCCACATACAGAAGCTGGACTGGACTGAGCATTCTCCATCTCATAGGAACCAAAAGGGAACTTTGCCTGTTTCAGCACCTTATCCTCCTCTCCAGTATCCTTCCATAGTCACACCACAGGCTGCAACTGGTCAGTATATAGACAATGGATGGACCAAGTCAGTATAAGGTAGCTTCCTATCTCCTGACGTCCTTTGAGCCAAAACAGTTTCCTCACCCCTAGTTTATGCAAAAACTGTGAGCTACTCCAGCTGCCCTTGTACGAGTGTGCAAGAAGTCACTGCTCATTTCAATGTCCCCCTTTCACCACAAGACCAGAGCTTGCCTCTGATATGGAAGGAAAGGCTGGGGAGTATTGATGACGAAATTTGCTGCATGAGAAAGAGGACCAGATGTTTCCTAATCCCTGTGTTAGCCTGTGTATCTGTGCAGCAGCTTGGAAGATTGTTATATATGATTAGGGCAATTGTGCAATTTATTACGCAGTATTTTTTGACCCCCACATATCTTTAAATCCCCAGACAACACATGGATTCAGGCCTATGCTAAGAGTACTTTCACCTCCTGCCTCTACTGCACTAGATTACAAAGTCTTCCAGCCGAGAATATGTAATTGGTGGGCTGTGGTAAGTTTTACCGCATTTCACTTTGTTGGTGTATAATTTCTGTACAGAAATTCAGCTGAGAGAGAAAAATCCTTTAGGCTCTTAATGAGTTTCCAGAATTATCTGGAACTGCTATAATTCTCCAGGGTTAAAGAACTGGAATAGTTATTGACCTCAGCCATGCTTTTTTAAAACAAAATTCATACATAATTATTTCCTCAGCTGCCTGCACACAGCTTCTCCTGGTGAGATTTAGATTTTTTTCTGACCTTGGTCCAGACATTATCTCCTTCTTTGCATAAATTTCAGGAGAAAGCTATACACGTAGGGAGTGGCATCACCCCAATTTGTTTTGATTGGCACATGTCTACTAGAAACTTCCAAAAGTACAGCCTGGAATTAATGTTAACATACTTCACAAAGCGATGGTATTAACCTTGATTCTAAATCACAGAGTCGAGTAAATCGTCTTAGTCTATGCTTCTGAATGGGCAGTATCCACAGTGTCAAATTAAGTAAGGACTACTGAAAGATAACTACACATGACTGTAAGAGTGGAATATATATATATATGACAAAAGCAGAGTTAGGCTTGAGACAGATCCTGATAATTGCTGGATTAGAAAAAGGGGGATCAGTTATGTGTTTCTCTGTCCCAGCAGCACAAGGTGCAACCTGAAACCCCATAGCACCCAGCAAAGCCTAACTCCACCCATTTGGTATCTCCATTTTAGGAATGTGACTAAATATAGACATGCCACCGTAAGTCACATCCCCCTGCCTTCCAGTCTGATAAGGCGTTCTGGAGAACTTGCTCACTGTTTTGTGACAATACCTGTCAGAGATCAGGCTGAGGAGTACTGTTCTGATGAGGAATGGTGGGAGCCTCCCCCTCCCGCTGCTCCTGACCAGGATCCTGAAGCTGCCCAGGAGCAGTGGAGCAGTATAGATTTGGAATAGTGGTTTGCAGAGGGGCACAGTTCTGAAGACAAAAGTTGGGATGAACTGGGGAGTGAACAGCAAAGTGAAGGAGAACTGGAGGAGAGAAAGCTAACAGACTCTCTCTCACTGAAAAGTGTCCAACCTATCAGTCCAAGGACATGTCGAGTAGATAAGGTGGCTGCACAAAAAGCACAGTGTTTGTGAGATCAGGTTGCTAGATGCGGAAGTGACTATGCGGGAAGTGGGTGGAAACCTTAATTGGGAACACCGTCATTCCGAGAATGGCTGCTTTGTTCTTTTGCTGTGATCATTAAAGACTTTTTAAATGGTAAGCGACTCTTTTGCCTTTGTCCTGCTTATCTACGACCAAAGGGCGGAGGAAGTCAAGTCCCCCAAGCCTGACAATACCTAGTAAGGGCATTGCCTGAATTTGAAATTTAGAAAGTTTTTTTCTGGGCCATAAAACCAAAGTCCAGCATTCTCTTTTTTTTTAAGAATGATTTTTTATTAACCGACCAATCACATCAAATCAAACCAAATTACATAAATTCCAAATTACACAGCCAAATTTTAAATTTTTGTTGGGGGTACCCATATTTCAAGTTCCAAAGGGATCCAATCAACTTCTTGCTTCTTACTGCTGTTTTAATGTCCACAAATCTAACCTTATGATGTTCACAGTACTATCCAGTCCTTTCTTATTATTTTTCCACATCTCTTGTTGTTATTTTCATATATTTTTCCTTTCTCTTTGTGACCTCTGATAGTCTCCGCAAGCTGGTTAGAAC